AATGACCACTTGGTGTGAATTCAGGATTCTCCCATTGTAATTACATCCACTACGAGGCAAGGAGGCTCCGTAAACTTTATTGCGACTGCTCTGTATCAATTGCCTACACCTCAATTGGGTTTTTTTGTTTTTTGTTTTTTTTTTGGAAGTCTGGAAACGGTTCATGCATAACGTTATTGCCTCTCGTGGCTTAAGACCGCCCCGTGCAATGGTACACACCTACCATCAGTGAAGCCATTTAAAATGGACTGAAAAATGGGTTAAAGGATGCAGGATCTCCCTTTAGGGCTATCAACTCAGGAATTCTTATCTCAATTATGAAATGTTGTGATGAAGTTCTTTCCCCAAACCCTGAAGACGACAGTTTTCCTTACTCCAGATCCGGCATTTCTAGAGAGAAAAAGAGCAGTGTTAGCGGGCAGGTTGTGTTGGTTTGGTTTTTGGTTATTATTTTTTTTAAAAAAAAAGCTACCAGGACCCCCATTATATCTCAAGGGACAGAAACAAAAGGATCCAGCCCTTGCCCAAGGAGGGCACGGGGCAGTTTAACATCTCAAGAAGGAAGATCTGTGCGCAGCCAACAGAGACGTTACTTGAGTAGGACCAGCACCACAGACACCGATGGCACATGCGGCTGCTCTGAAAGCCAGAGCCCCCCCAGGGCTGCAGCTGGCTGGGGAGGGCAAACTGGTATTTCACACGCGTGTGGAATGGCTTTCCCTAGATTGTGTCGCCTCACGCCACTCAGGCAAGGCGCTGGCACTAGCGGCGGCCAGGATTTAGCGAGACCAACGGGACAGAATATCTGCTGGCTCTGCTCGAGGCTCTCGCTCAATAGAGTGTTCGGTGAGCGCTTGCACTGCCCCACGGTGTGTAAAATAACCGGGAACGCCAACTTACTTTCATCATCACTGTCTGGTGAGTCCTGGAAAGAAGAAGAAACATTAACTGGAGCAGACTGTGCTTGAAGGCGCTTTTCACTCTGTACCAGTAGCCCAGCGGCTGCGTCCACAGCCCAGGGGGAACGCTGAGGAACTCCTGGTTCCACAGGACTTAAGTTTGCCCTCACTGGCCAGAGGCTACAGACCCACAGTAGCCAACAGTCGCTGCAGAGGGGGACGACACCAAGTTGCCCGGGCTCTGCAAGCACCAACACCACCGCCCTCAGCACCACTGGAGGGCAGGGACATGACACTTGCCAGATGACATCATTTGTCCACACAAGGTTTGGTGCGGTTTAACCATTCAACAGCGCTGAAGAGGGAACGCAAGTTTGACTTCAGCGAGCGACAACAAACACGCAGGGCGCTGCGCCTGCCCCCTCATGTATTTACTGCGAACAAAAGTACTTACATCATCTGCCCCATCTACTTCTGGCAAGTCTACGTCATCATCTCCACCCATGTTGTTCATCATCTGTTCCAGAGAGATAATGACCACGTTACTACAGGGTGAAGCCAACCACGCTCTATGTGAGCCAGGGGAGCACAGTAAAAATCTAAAAATAGTTTACAATGGTTACAACCCACAGCCCCCGTTGATTTGGCAAATCAGCTGCACCTATGCAGGAATTTAAGGTGAGCACCAAAACCCAATTTCAGTTAATTGCCTTACAAACCAACTGGTGCACCGAGTTAGTGCCAGCACCTACAACGGGACACCCGTTCACTTCGTATCGGATAGCACAGATCAGTCACCTCACTGCTGCGCCACAGCGCCGGTTAGAGTCAGCAACGGCTGCGCCCCAGCAAACCAGCGGCCAGGAAGAGGAAGGGCAAGGAAGACTCCTCTTCCTCCAGCTCTCAGCCCCTGCTCGCCTGCACGCAGCCCAGAAGGAAACCCAAATCTCTAGGTACTCATCTTCCCATACCTCAGAAAAGCGATCAAAATTGGACATGTCTTCATCTGAATCGTCCTCCCAGTCTTTCCAGTTGTTGAAGTCCACACTGAGCCAGTTGAGCTGCACGTCAAGATGAGAAGTTATTTAAGGACAAGCAAGTAACAAGCTGTTACTGTTAGAAGAGGAAGGTTAATAAGAACTGCTGTTCCGATCAGCACAGTAAAGTGACCCATTAACTGCTACATAATTTAAACATGACCCAAATATTAAACAAAATTAAAACCAGGGGAGGCAACAGGCACATGATGGAGTTCGAACCCACCTTTGCCCTCTCTTTTGTTAACCTTGGCCATGCCTGACCAGATTCTCCTTTTCGTAAACAACACAAGATAGATCTGTCTGTTCTTTTATGCTTTGATTCCTGAAAAGGAGCAAATATCTGTTAGTACAGTCATCAGAAACTTCACCAGGAACTGCTTCTATTAGACTCATTTGTCTTAAGCTATCAACTTCTTTGTCCTGAAAAATACTGCCCAGAGATGCTTTCGCAGACCCGAGTTTAAGTGTGCTCTTAGGGCCTCAGGAAGAATTTGCCCACAATGCTGGCAGCAGCCTCCAGAAGGGCTGGCATTTTTCAGGATACGGCACTGAAAGTACAGTAAGGAGAGTCAAGAGGATACTCACATTTGGATCAATATTATTAAAAAGGTCAATTTCGTTTAAATGTTTAAAGTTATCACTTCCTCCAAGACAACTGTTAAGAGAAAAAAAAATGCTTGTGTTTAGCAGGAAAGATTTTATAGAACAAATACTCTTCATTAAGAGAATTTGCAACTTTTAAGAAAAATATTATCTCATCAGCACGGCCTTCAGGGATGTCCCCATGCCTCTCAGCTTTGTGAAGGCCCGAGGTACTTACCTGAATGTAAGTTTGGATTTTTCAAAATTTACATTAACATCTTTACTGTCTTCAACACAAAATTCAATAAAGACATAGTCCCTTCGGTCGTACCACTTCGCAGAAGCAGGCTGCCTGCGGACAGACCATTTAAGAGAAATTCAAATCAAGTTTCATATCTTTCATCAATATTCAAAAAAATTTTAAAACTCACCCTTCCATGCTGCCAGCAAACTTAACATTGGCTTTCCTTACATTTCTCCCGAGACACAACTTGAGCGGTTCGAATTTTTTTTTAATTGCATTTAGACATGTTCAACTAAAAGACTTCTGCCCGTTCTTAAAAGCCACAGTACTAGCTTATTATTAATAATCTCTAAAAGGTGCTCAAGGTTGAAAAAGAATGTGAAGGATAAAGGGATATAATGCATTCGATGCGTAACACCCCCAAAAAGCTCGTGCTGATGTTCCTTGAAGAAGCTATCAAAATCTTTGAGACTGAAATGTTACAGCAAATCAAAATTATGATAAACTTTTCAAGATGAGCTACTACAGACGATGGCAAAATTTCAGTCACCTCTAACAGCTACGTAGCCACGCTTAATTGTGCTTTTTGTCACTTCAAGAAGCCCCAAAGCACCACCGCTGAAAAGCCTGCTTTTTTGGACATTGATACCATTAAAAAAATGTACCCTTCAACAAATTTGGCTAAAGTAAGACCCCGCCAAAGTCAGTACAGGTACGAGCGCTGAAGAATCACTTCTGACTTCTCGCTGCAACCTTCTATGTCCCCAGACTTTAACTCCCACGCTCTTTGGTATCTTCTGGCTTTCCACAGACACAACAGCCTGTCCAAGGCACCAGAAAACACCGCAGGACTCCCGACCAACTCTCGTGCGTTTGTAGTTCTGCAGCGAGAACTCACCTGCAACGCTCGAGCGCGGCCATTCTCAATGGGCTGCTGAAAGCAACCCCGGCTGGGCCACGGGCTCCCCACTGCTTTCAGTTATTCTCCTGGCAACTCAAGCCAAGCCCACAGCCGCGCGTCTGCATTCCAGGGGAAAGCAAACGGCCGCCCAGCGCGAGCCGCTGTTGCTAAGGCACAGAAAACCATGGTGCTTTCCCCCACTCCGGCTCTCACCCGTCTCCCAGAGGTGCAAGACCAAGGCTGGGATTCCAGAGCTCGTACCCTGCAGAGACGAGCTCCAAGACCTTCCGGCGAGCCAGACTGAAGTTAAACACTCTAAGCTGAACAGTCACTTACCCTGATGTTTATTGCATCTACACTGACTACAGGAAGTTAACGCACACAAGGACACAAAGAAAGCTCCTGTTCCCATCTGAACATGACAGCGTACACTTCACCCACCGAGGGGTGGATGTTTGGTCTCTGTAATGCGCTCTAAGCATTACAGCATAATAACCTGACAAGAGTAATTAACTTTTCAGAACATTTCTGAAGATTACCATCACTAAGCTTTCAGAACAGATTTTGGCTCACCTGATCAACCGATTCAATTCCTGGTACCAAACTGTGACTCGTTTAGTAGAGTTACTTACTGAAGGCTGCAGCGCTCCCTCGCCCCACGGCTTGTTCCCATCCTGCTCCCAGCACAACCGTCCACAGAACTGGACCAGGCCCCAGCCCTGGTTAAATCCCAGCCCAGCCGGCTTTGAGCTCTGTCGGTGCTACACATACTTCGCAGTTCAGCTGTACAAACAATGGTGCCAGCTCAAGGGAAGGCCAGTAACGGTGGCAGAAGCGACCACAACCGCCTCTTCCAGCATTGGCACCCATTAGAAGTGCAGGAAACGTCTGGTCAGAGGCCAGTAACAGAACATTTAACTTCCAGGAGCACAAAAAACAGGTGGGGTCCGAATGCAACCTTTAGTTTCAAGCAAGATACCATCCCACCGGGTGACAACCTAACGCTTCCCTTCCAGCAGCATTTTTAGGAAATACCAAGGCACCTACTTATTCAGGTAAAGTACAACAACAGCAGAGTAGCAATTTTCTCACTATGGTATTTTTAATTCGTTCTTGGGCACAAGTTTCCTCTTCTAATAGGGAGTGAAAGACTCTCAGAGGAAAAGAGGATGAGAGATGACCTGCTCTGTTCCCTCTGTGTCTCCGCTTTTGGGCACTGCATGGCAGCCATTTCTCACGCTGCTGAAGACAAAAATCCCACTGCACAGAGCTCAACACACTGTTATCAGAACAGAAATCTCAGTGTCCCTGCTCGTGATGATGCAGGGGCTCCTGCTGGATAGGATTAATAA